ATGATCCGATGAGAACTCAAATGTTTAGTTGAGCCAATATACGTTATAGTGCATTTATGGCTTCCCTTATTTTAGTGAAATCATGGAACAAAAACATAACCCCGCTCGGTTTGAAGGATGCAATATGTTTAGCAGCCTAAACCTGAAATGTATCCAGGAAAATTATTATCATTAACCAATAAAGGTTGAGGTTGAGCGCCTCTGCTTAAGCATGTAGGTTTTGAGTGAAAAAAGAGAGGTACATGTAAAAACAAAAAAACAAAAAAAAAAAAAAAAAAAAGAAAAAAAAGAAAAGAAGAGAGAATTACGAAAAAGTTTGAAGAATTTTGGAGCAAATAAAGTGAAGATCAAAAGATCAAAATTCCAAGAAATTCAAAAAGTTGAAGATACCAAGAAATCAAATCAAATAAGGTGGTGAATTCAAAGAAATCAAAGATCAAATTGTTAAGAAAGTGAAGAATTCTTAAAAAGCTCCATAGTGGTATCATAAATTGTAATTCTAGATTATGTATGCTTAGGTTGCTCAACTAAAAATACCTTGAGGTTAGGAGGTTTTCTGCAGATGGATTCGGAGGGTTGCATAAAATGAGCATTGTTCGGAAAAAGCGGGCAAGTGTTTATGAAGATTGTGAGTATTTAAAGTATGGGGGGTACTTTAGGAAAATTTTAGACACAAATGCATGCGTTGAGGTCTTGGCATAATGACTGAGTTTTAAATGGATTGTTTAGTGCAATATTGGTAAAATAAAAGTAAATTTGCTTGGGGCAAGCAAAGGTTAAGTGTGGGGTATTTTGATATGTGTATTTTTATATATATTTATGTATAACATATCTTAATATTTTAGCCTTTAATATTATTATTTAGAACTAAAATATACTTAATGTGCTTTGAAATATTTAATTACAGTTAAAATGGGAGATGGAATGCAAAAGAAAAAAAATGGAGCTGAAAAGATGCAAAAAGGATATTGCTGGCAGATTGACCCCTCTTCAGTTTTTCGGGTATATCTGATGACTCACAAGTCCAATTGACGAGATTCAAAATGTTCTGAAAACTAGACAAAATTTCCTACGACTTATGTGACAGGGACTTTTGGCTAATTCGACACTTATCTTATCCAAAATCGGCCTTGAAGATGAAGCATAAAAGCTGGACGGAAATTCCCTCCAAGTTACTTATTCCCCAAGCACCACTTTCCTTATCTTTATTTGCTTAATCCCTAAGCCACATTAGTTTCCTTATTCCAATCCAACTCTAATATTCCATATAATTCCATCTCCATCAACTATAAATACCCGATATCATTCCACCAGTTTAATAATCTATGATATTCCACTTCGACTTGTGCAACAAGAAAACTTCATAGTTGCCGTTTTGAGGGTCTAGAAGGCGGCCGGAAGGCCGTTAAGCTAACGGGAGCAGAGATCTGAAGGATTGGAGAGTGGATACATGTCGGTAATCATATGGATTGCTAACGTGACCATGTTTAGCACTTCATTATGGTACTTTTTGTATTTAGTTTCTGATTTGGGTGTAAAAACCTTTTACTTTGTGTTTATGATTGAATGAAGTTTTGATTCTTAGACTAATTGCTATGTTAAATAATTTATTTATGTTTAATTTATCTTGCCAAGCTTGTTCAAAGATCCTCATGTGTTAATGATGATTATTTGCTGTTAATTGTTAAGTGAATTAAGTTGTATGAAAACCTGCTTGATTTGCTTGTCTCTTATGATTTTTGATGACCATTGAGATTATAAGACTAGAAATAACGAATGTGAAACTAGGATTAACTTGGGAATAAGTAAGTTAATGTGTGAGCCTTGTTTGATGACCATCAACAAGAGGTTAATTAAATGTTTAAATTAACTATATTTACAAGTCTTGCTTGATACGAACTGAACACTAGGAATCATGTTAGTTTAATCAATTGATCACTGTTTGAATTGACTTGTTTGCTAAAGGATTAGTTATCGTGAACACGAATCTAATCAATTTAGAAATCGTTGAACATGAATAAATGAATTTGTGTATGCAATTGTTTATGTTTTCAAGGTGGAATTTATCTAAACCAAAGTACCTAAAGAGATTTGTTTTCCTGTTAGTTTATCGAGGATGGTTAATTAATTATTAGTTTGAGATTTATTAAACTATTTCTTTTATTCTTTTCGTGTGACCTGTAACCTATAATCAAATATATTAAATTAATCCACCGTTCCCTGTGATCGACACCCGACTTACCTAAGCTATACTGTAATCTGACTAGGTACACTACCTATAAGTGCATAGTTAGTCTAAGTTTGTTAGGTTATAAATATTAAAATTAATGGGTACTTTCGTGCACATCAGTTTCACCTTTTCGTTTGATAATGAAGTTGGTTCGATTAATGCTTTCTTTAATAATGTTCTTTATTTTAAAGCATTACCTTGTGATGGTGTGTATGAAGCTGTATCTGTTGTAGATAACTTAGGAAATAATGTTTTGTGTATTGATTCTACTAATAATAATAACTTGGATAAAGCATCATTATGGCATTGTCGTCTTGGACATATAAGCAAGAAACGCATAGGCCAACTCCAAAAGGATGGAGTCTTGGAGTCGTTTGACCTAAAGTCAAATGATAGTTGCGAATCATGCTTACTTGGAAAAATGACAAAGTCACCCTTCACAGGCTCGTGTGAAAGGGGTGAAGGTTTGTTGGACCTTATACACACGGATGTGTGTGGACCATTCAAACATGCCACAAGGGATGCTAATCGTTATTATTTGACTTTTACTGATGATTACAGTAGATATGGATATGTCTACTTAATCAAGCATAAGTCAGAGACTTTCGAGAAGTTTAAGGAATTTAAACAGGAAGTCGAGAATCAATTGGGCAGGAACATTAAGATGCTTCGATCCGATCGGGGTGGTGAGTATCTTAGTTCAGAGTTCCTCGACTATCTAAGGGCATGTGGGATTGTCTCACAATTGACACCTCCCAGGACACCGCAGTTGAATGGTGTGGCTGAGAGGCGTAATCGAACCTTGTTGGACATGGTTCGTTCCATGATGAGTTGAGCTTCGCTACCAATCTCATTCTGGGGGTATGCCTTAGAGACTGTCGCCCATATCCTTAATCTAGTCCCTACAAAGAAAGTTGCCAAAACTCCTCACGAGATGTGGACTGGTAAAGTACCTAAACTAGACCACATCAAGATTTGGGGTTGCGAGGCTTTCGTGAGACGCGAGTCATGATAAGCTCGAACCCCGAAGCGAGAGGTGTATTTTCATCGGCTACCCACAGCAATCCTTTGGTTACCTCTTCTACAGACCTAGTGACAATGTGGTCTTTGTAGCAAGAAGAGGAGTCTTTCGAGAAAGAGAGTTTATAAGCCAAGGAGACAGTGGGAGGCAAGTTGATCTTGAAGAAATTCAAGAGTCAAGTGGTGAAGGAACTTCAAACTCTAGCCCTCAACTTGAGGAGGAAACTCCTGTTGAGCCAATTGACGAATCTGTACCTCTGAGGCGTTCCACGAGAGTTAGGAGTGCACCTGAGCATTACTATGGATTCCATATTACTGCAGAAGGTGAGACACTTATTAGTGATGGGACACTAGTAAGTCAAGATGACCCTAACAGCTACGAGGAAGCCATGGCAGGCCCCGAGTCTGCTAAATGGAAAGAGGCTATGGATAGCGAGATACAATCCATGTATGACAATCAAGTTTGGAACTTGGTTGAGAATGTACCAGGTCGAAAGACTGTAGGGTGCAAATGGGTCTTCAAGAAGAAGACCGACATGGATGGTAAAGTATACACTTATAAGGCTAGACTGGTTGCAAAGGGCTTCTCTCAAATTCCTGGAGTGGATTATGATGAGACCTTTTCTCCGGTAGTCAAGATTAAGTCTATTCGGGTTCTGTTAGCCATAGCCGCATTTCATGACTATGAAATTTGGCAAATGGATGTCAAAACCGCTTTCCTTAATGGAAAGTTGGCTGAAGATGTTTACATGAGTCAGCCAGAGGGTTTTGTCAGCAACAAGTACCCTAATAGAGTGTGTAAGCTTGAGAAATCCATTTATGGATTAAAGCAAGCACCTCGCAGATGGAATCTTTTCTTTGATGAAAAGGTCAAGGAATTTGGCTTTTCTAGGAGTGAAGATGAATCTTGTGTATATGTCAAGGCTAGTGGGAGTATAGTTAGCTTTTTGGTATTGTATGTGGATGACATACTACTCATAGGAAACGACATTCCAACCCTGCAGGAAGTAAAGTCCTGGCTTGGAAAGTGTTTCGCTATGAAGGACCTTGGTGAAGCTGCCTATATTTTGGGGATAAGGATCTTGAGAGATCGGAGTAAAAGACTAATTGGACTTAGTCAAAGTACCTACTTGGAGAAGGTTCTAAAGAGATTCAGAATGCAAGACTCCAAGAAAGGAGAGTTGCCCATCCAGAGTAACGCCAAACTGAGTAAGACACAAAGCCCTAACACTGAGGCTGAGATAGCACAAATGAGTTGAGTACCTTATGCTTCGGCTGTAGGATCGATCATGTATGCTATGACGTGTACTCGACCTGATGTAGCTTTTGTCCTGAGCTTGGTTAGCAGGTTTCAGGGGAAACCTGGCAAGGCACACTGGACTGCGGTAAAGAATATTCTCAAGTACCTACGAAGGACTAAGGACTGGGTCCTTACCCTCGGTGGGAGTGATTAGGGGTGGCAAATCGGGCAGTCGTGCCGTGTTTTTATCTAACACGACACGACACGAATTATTTTCCCTCAACCCGAACACGAAACGAAACGATATCGTGTTTGTTTTCGTTAACACGAACACGAAAAAATAAAAAAACACGAAAAAACCGATAACACGAAATAATTTACCAAAAAAAAAAAAAAACAATTCCATAATGTCATTCATAGTTCTTGCAAAAAAAGTTAAATTAAACATAACAAATACACATTTAGTGACAGAAAATAACATAAAACGTCATAAAATTTTGCTAAATGTCTTCAAGCTTGTGACTCCATTTCTTCATGTGTACCATTAGCATTGTTATCAAACTTCATAACATCTTCGGTAAGATCTTGTAAACATAACTCTTCATCACCTACAAACAATATTAAAAACATATTAAAAATATTAAATACTTTATACAAATGTTTCAAGAAGAATACAAATTACCTTTAATCCCAAACAACCAATCTTTTGCACAAATTAGAGCTTCAACATTTTCATGTTTCAACGAACTTCGATATTGATCAAGAATACGACCACCATTACTAAAGGCTGATTCGGATGCCACAGTGGAAACAGGGATGCTCAAAATATCTCGAGCCATGGAAGCAAGTTCCGGATAACGATATTGATGGGCTTTCCAAAAAGAAAGTACATTTATATCTTCAGTTATGTCACTTCTTGGCTCATCTAGATACATCTCTAATTGTGATTTTTGAGACAAAGCAAACTCCTTAGTTTCATACACTGTGAACTCCTATGAAAACAGAAAATTAATTAGTATAAATTAAAAAAACTTATGAAATAAACTAATTATATAAAAAATTAATTAGTAAAAACAACTTCTTACTTGTAGCATTTCTCTCGTGCTTTTACTAAGTGTTGTGTCATCTTTCTTTTTGTAAACACTTTTACTTGAATCACTTGTTGAAATGGTTGATGCTCTATAAGCCATGGGTGATTCAATAACGTATTCACCAAATAGATCATGTAACTTCTCCCGAATACAATCACTATGCTCACGAAAACTGCTTCCATAGAGTTTTTTGTAAGTAAACTCAACATATTGCATTTTATAACGTGGATCCAAAACTGCAGCCATGGCCAAAATTGGACTATACTCGGACCAATATTTAGAGAACTTCTCATACATTTTGCAAGCCATTATCTTTATAAACGTATCCGAACTTTCTATTTCTTCTTTTAAAGTTCTTTCAACCGTGGAAACTGAAGGAAAATATAAGTTTGCTGTGCAATACTTATTTCCAGAAAAAATGCATGTGACTTCATAAAATACTTCCAAAAATTTGAAAATCTTTTCTAATTTGCCCCATTCTTCATTACTTGGACAATCTAAGTAATTAGAATCACTTAGTGCTAAACGGAAAAAAGCACGACGATAAAAAAGGGCACTTTCAATCATAAGAAAAGTAGCATTCCATCTAGTTGGAACATCTTGTCGCAAGCCTTTATTTGGATTCAAATTAACCTGTTTCACACAATTCAGAAAGTTTCTTTTCCTTACTGAAGATCCCTTCACGTACTTGATAGATTCTCTAATTTTGACAATCCCTTCATCAATAGCCTTCAAGCCATCTTGCACAACTAAATTCAACACGTGAGCACAACATCGAACATGAAAATAATCTCCGTTACTATGAAGTGCACCTTCATTACATAATTGACCTTTTAGGAGATTGACAAAAGTATCATTACTTGCAGCATTATCTAACGTGATTGTAAACAACTTTTTATCAATCCCCCAATTGGTCAATAAAGTAGATATTGTTTCGGTCAAACATACGCCATTATGTGGAGGTGGCATATATTGAAAGTTCAAAATTCTTTTTTGCAACTTCCACTCCTCATCAATAAAGTGAGAAGTAACACACAAGAAACCATCTGTGTTAATAGAAGACCACAAATCAGCAGTTAATGAAATTCGACCAGGAAGTAACTCAAACAATTTCTTGAGTTTTCCTTTTTCTCTTTTAAACAAATTCAGCACATCTTCTTTAGCGGTGTTTCTAGTAATTGTGGTAACTTTTTCATTTAAGTAACTAAAGATTTCTCTAATACCCTCATACTCTACAAACCTAAAGGGAAGGTCATGCTTGACAATAGCTTCACTAATAAGTTCACGGAATCTTTCGGGTTTAAAAACTGTGGAATTTATTGAAATTGAACCACCTGATTTTGCAAAACTGAATTGTGCTATGTCACTTTTGTCCCTTCTTGGACACTTTGCAATGTGATTTCTCAAGCTACCTGTTCCATTTTTTGTTTCACAAATGTATCTTTTTTTGCACTTATCACATTCAGCCCTTTCCCTACCATCTGCACCAATTGGAAGTCTAGTATAATACTTCCATACCTTAGACCACCTTTCCCTTTCCATTTTTACATGATCTTCTTCACCCTCTACTTTAACATCTACCTCCACAACATCAATGTCATCAGCTTCTTCTTCAAGTTCTACATCCTAAAATAAAAAAGGAGGGTCTTTTTCAGAAATTATATAATTTAGATGGGGAAAAGTTTAAAAAAAATAATAAAATACCTGAGGAGCTACAGTTGCAGAATGTGTATCTGTTTTATTAAGCTTTGCCTTTTTTGTATTATGTGTTTTATCAAGCTTTGCCCTCTTCATGTCGATTTTCTTATCAAACTGTTTGAAATAAAAATTGGAAACAAATATTTAAAAGAAAGCTGCAATATGAAACTAAGAAAGCAATCAGAAGCAAAATATGGAGTGTACAGTTTATTAAAATAACAACAAAATTCAGAGTAATCAAGAAGACTAGAAGTATAAGTAAAATCAAGTATCTTAGAAACAAATATGGAGCAATATTAGAAGTAATCAAGAGATAAGACGTATACAACTTCTCCTTATTGCAAAATCAATCAAGAATTATCACAGAAATATTTTTATTTTCTTTTTGTATAAGAAACTACAAAAAAAAGCAAGTGACAAGAGTGCACAAATGTTTAGTGCTATTACGTATTTGCGTACTTAACGATATCACAATTCACAAAAGTCTTTTTCTAAGTAACCAGTTGCAACATTCTTTGAAAATTAAATAATAAAATTACCTTTCTTGCGTCAATTGTGGTTGAGATTTGAGAAGCAATAAAGCAAGTATATGAGTCAATTGCGATTGTCTGAACGGCTAAACCATAAACGAAACAAGTTTGAGAAGCAAGAATAGGAAACGGCTAGAGCAAATTGGTTTTGCGATCACCGATTGTCGGCTTGTGGTTGAGGGATTGTAGTTTAAAAACAAATAATGAACTGGAGATTCCTTTAACAAAATTGATTGCGTATGGTTTTCAAATAATACCGCCATCAACGGTTTATGGTTCTAGTTCTATTGAGTATTGAGAATGGGGAAATGCAAAACGCCGATTAGAATTTCTAAAAGTCTTTTGGGTTTTCAAAGAAGCCGATGGAAAGGCCTAGCCTAGGTCTTGAATCCTTAATTGTTTAATTATTTTAATGCATAAATTTAAATACCTATTATTATTATTTATTAAATACCTATCATTTAATAAAGTGTAAAATGGAATTATCGTGCTATTATCGTTTTAGTATCGTTCTATAGTCGTGTTTCATTTCGTTTTAATATCGTGTTATAGTCGTGTATATATCGTGTTTTAGTCGTGTTGTTATCGTTTCTAATTTCAAACACGAACACGACACGACACGACGTCGTTTTTTTTTAAACAACACGAACACGAAACGAACACGAATTCGAATTTCGATTTCGTCCCAATTTCGTTTCGTGTCGTGTATTTTTGTCGTGTCGTGTCAACTTTTGCCACCCCTAGGAGTGATGACTTGAGAGTTGTAGGGTATAGTGATGCTAGCTTCCAGACTGATAGGGATAACTTCCGCTCTCAGTCGGGCTGGGTCTTTACCCTAAATGGAGGAGCAATTTCTTGGAAGAGTTCCAAGCAAGAGACAGTGGCAGATTCTACTTGTGAATCAGAGTATATTGCAGCTAGCGAGGCGGCAAAGGAGGCGTTATGGCTGAGGAACTTCATTGGAGACCTTGGAGTTGTACCAGCTATTAAAGAGCCAATGGAAATTTTCTGTGATAGTGAAACTGCTGTTGCCTTAGCCAAGGAACCAAGGGATCACGGGAGATCCAGACACATCGACAGAAAATACCATTTCATCAGACATCGGATCGAAGAAGGACTCCTCGTGGCAAAGAGGGTATCATCAGATGAGAATCCGGCAGATCCCCTCACGAAGGGACTGACTCGGGTTAAGCATCTCCAGCATGCTCGGAGCATAGGGCTGAAGGATGATATTAGATTTAGTAGTTAGATAACCTCGAAATTTGTAAAGTGTAATTGACATTTGATGATGAATAAAAGTGTTTTATTTATGAGTAAAGTGTTGCTATCTCTTGTCGATCGTTTACTATATTTCTTTTGCATGTTTTGACTTCCAGAATAATTTTGTTTGGTATAACATATTATTCAAACCTCCACAGTCGGTCATATGTCGGAAGTAGGTATGAATCAAGACTGTCATGTTTGGTTGTAGAGGTCTGGACAAGGCTACAACAATCATGAGTGCTCATAAGTTCTGAGCATTGGACTCAACCCACGCTCACTGGAATCACTTCATGGAATTCTATCTCGAGTGATCGTGAGACGGTAATATCATATAAGTCTTTAAACCTAGAGATATGATTTGTTACTTACAAGTTGGTTATGCATTGATTGTACGAAAAGCATTGGTAACTCGATGTTATAAATCGCGCTCTTGTGTGTAATTCAATGAGTAGTAGAACAAACATATGAGTCGAAGTTTATCTGTTCCTTCTTGGATTAGAAGCTGATATCTGGGCCCCTCGATGATTTTGTTTTGACCTATGTACCGGGCCCGGTCAGAACTAATTGATGTGTTCAATGAAGTTCTTTGTCAAACAAATCGGAAATCGGGAAACAAATTGTTGGACAATAAGTAAGACATTGTTCCATGTATTTGTCCGACTGATATCTAGAACAGAGGATTATATGATCACTTATCTTAAATGGCGTACCATCATCTTCTCAGTTTCGAGAAACCTTGAAAAGAGC